GTGTGTGTGTATATATATATGTATGTATATATATACATTTTTCTTGTTTTGATAAAAGTGAATGTATTGGGTTTAAACAAAAACGTTCAACACTCTCAGTTCCTTTTCCAATCAAAAATAGATTAAAAATACTAAATAAAATAAAAGAATTTATCAATGATTCATGATTTTCGTAATCTTTAAGAAAACATTTAAGGTTAAGCTTAAAAAACAATTTTAATGGTTAAAACTGTGTAGAAATAAATTCACTCCAAACACAAGTGTATAAGCTGTGTGTAATAAACGTTCTTAATATATATAATTAGAATCCTTGTCAAAAATAAAGTAAGCTTAATACAAATATGCTGGGGGTCAGAAATTGATATTTAATCAAAGAGAGAAAAATGTCAAAAAAATAACTTCACGAATTATTAACAAGAGAAGCTTAAGAACCAGTTTGATTGGCAAAAGAGTCTGGAATTATGAATTAGTAAATATCTATATCTATGTGCATAGCCAGTTTTGTTGTTTTGCTTTACAACTAATTTGAAAAGTTCTAGTATCTTTGTAAACTGATTTCTAACAACTGCTGCTCACCGTCAAGGATTCAAGGAAAATATTTTTACTATAGGTGAGATTTTTTTGGAATAAGAAAGCTGGTCGTTAAAATGAACTGTTAACTGTAAATATTAAAAAAAATCTCAGCACCGAAAATGGTGGCAACTACTTAACACCAAAGTGATGTAGAGAAACACTTATACATAACTATTGCATCTAGTGTTTCACCTTGCCAAAGTCATTTTACCCTACTAGGTGTTAAGTAGCAGTTACCATTTTTGTAATTCGAAAACTTAAAAACTCCAAAATTAATAATTCAGTAAGATAAGATACTCAAAAATGTCAGTAAAGTTACATTTGCAATACAATATAAAGCAAAGAATTATTAATTTAGAAAGGATATATGAACTAATTCTTAAAATAAATTTAGTTTTTAAATCAAACATACGTGTAACACAAAGAGAATCTTAAGAAGAATTCGAACTAGGCTTAACAGAACGGAGGCAGATAGGAATTATACATTATAAAATCAGTAAATGCAGTTCTCAGATACTTAAAATTTAAACTATAGTTATCCTTATCACATCGCTAAAAACGTACATACATGTTTAACAGCTAATTTCTATGGTTCATAAATTCGGTACATTCATTTGTCAGCTTTCATAAATTCATTTGTCAACTTTCGGTAGTTTATTCCAGATTGTAAACAAACTGCTCGCTGATATTACTCGAATTTTTAATCTATAAAACGTGCCAACATTGGTGTTTTTTTAAGTGAAAAAATTCTATTATGACCAAAAAGCGTGATATTTTGGTGCGAGATTATTTAGTTTTAAGTGCTCCGATTAAAATTCTTTAAACCGCATAGGAATACCTAAGTGCTGTATTGGCGTGATGTGGCGTTTACCTGGAATAAAATGTTACATCACTCAATTTTTTTGTTTTGTTTAAGAGATATTATACCATATATTATACCTTTGGGGAGATATTATACCATAGTTTTTGCAGTACTAGTTTTGCCGAAATTTGCTACAATTACGACACTGATTTTTTCTCCAAAGGGATTTCGTCATACAAATTTAAGGTCATTCTAATTTTGATGAATATTTCAGTTATAAGCCTTGATGGGGGGTTTTTTTTCAAAGAAAAAATTTACCGTATCAATTAATGGTTAAATTTTCTAACTTTGATGAAATCCATTACAATTATCGACATTGGGATTTTTTTACTTTCAGAAAGATTGCTAGCTGTATAACACAATAGTTATCTTAGAATGCTAACTCCAATTTTAATGATGCGAGGAACTCATCTCACATATACTAATATATTGTGAAGACAACATTTTGAGACATGAAATCAAATATATAAGCGTACCTTCTCTGAAGAAACATACCTTTTTTGAGGCTGATTTTAATTTTTGACCTTTGAAATATGGAAAAAGCAATTACGGCTAACGCCCTCTCCTCATATATTGCTAGTCAAGAATCCAAATCCCCTGAACGTTTGAGTGTTAAAATTTATAACTTGAAATGTGAAAATCCAATCATAAGCTCAGAAGTCATTAAGGTATTCTTTTATTATTATTATTGTTATTATTATTATATTTTTTTGCACTTTGCACATTTCACAAATTCTATTTTCTGATTTCTTTTATCTATTTTTTGAAGATGCAACTCAAAAGATTCATTCAAAAACAATACCTATAAAATATCAAGTTAAACATGACATCACATCGGTTTGTGTTTATTCAAGGAATTGACGCGACTCGTACTGAATTATTATGGGGCTGTTTTTGTACCTGGCCTACGGGTGATAAATCGCAATAAGCAGCTATAAAAAGGACTTATTCTTGAGCCAAAGTATTCATGTATCGTCATATTCTCCTTTGTCAACAACTTCGATCATATTCCAGGATACGTTCGATATTTTTTTTCAGATTATTCTACATATAAAAATGCTTAACTAAAAAAAAACATTTATCCATTAATGGCTTGCGATAATTTTTGGGAATGTTCTAAAACTTTTTAATAAGCTCACGGAAATCAATTTTTTACATAAATTAAGTATTCACATCTTTTACCTTTTATCCAAATCAATAAGTGTTAGATAATTTATTTAGGTCCCTTAGGACTGTTCTGAAACTTTATATTAAACTCACGGAAATTAATTTTTCTATATAAATCAAGTATTTATATCTTTTGCATTTCATCTATAGAAGCATGTATTAAATGTTTTATTTAGGATATTGCAGGTATTTCAGTGCTTCCGGTATCTTATAAAGTTTTATAATAAACTAACGGATATTAATTTTTTCTACATTAATTAAGCATTCACATCATTTGAACTTCATGTATAGCAGCATGTAAGTAATTGTTTGATTACATAGCTTTTTTTTTTAATTTTCAAGTTCGACGCGAAAGTAAGGCTTCAAAATCTGGAATAGAAAATTTTTACTTCAGTTTAAATATTTAAAATTCAGTCACCTGATTTTGCTACGTATTTTGTTAAATACAATCTTAAGAATAATTTGCTTCGAAATGTCCATCAATTTTAATATGAATATGCCCCGCAGTGAACTGATCGCAAAGACACGGTTCCCAGTAGAACACCGAAGTCGAGCATCACTGGATGAGGTCAGTAACCGGGTGGGTGACCACTTTGATCAGCCTTTTCGTTAAACTGTTCTACCATAAAGTGCTCGACTTCACTCCCAGGACGTCGGGCTACCAAAGCAAAGGAGCCATCCCCTCTGCAGAGCATCAAAATTGCGATGGCATGTCTTCGGATCATCTTCAGGGATGCTTCTCAGACGTCGCCCATAGCTCATTGTGCAGCTCTAGTGCAACGTAAATATAGTATCTATCCACCTTATATGAATACAATTGTAACACAATTTTTTAATCTCATTTGATTTTAATAAATATGATTATAATAAGATTTTTCTTGAAATCTCTAATAATGTCCAATCCATCATCTAATCAATACTATCGTCAGTATCGTAAAACTTTTTCTGGGATGCTTCTATAGTTTTAGATTTCGATGTTTTGGATATTTTTACAATGTTCCTCAATCTAGCAGATTGATTTCAATAAATATGATTGTAATAAGATTTTTCTTAAAATCTCTAATAATGTTCAATCCATCATCTAATCAATACTATCGTCAGTATCGTAAAACTTTTTCTGGGCAGCTTCTATAGTTTTAGATTTCGATATTTTGGATATTTTTTACAATGTTCCTCAATCTAGCGGATTGATTTCAATAAATATGATTTTAATAAGATTTTTTCTAGAAATCTCTAATAATGTTCAATCCATCATCTAATCAATACTATCTTCAGTATCGTAAAACTTTTTTTGGGAATATTCTAGATATAGTTTTAGATTTCGATGTTTTGGATATTTTCTACAATGTTCCTCAATCTAGCGAATTTTTTATCATTTTTTATTTGATTATAAAAAAAAGGCTTAAAATCACTTTTTAGTTTGAAAAACAGATAGCACAATTTTACCAAAAATCCTACATCGAATGTTACAGCGGAACTCGAACCCATTACCTATACGCTTCAGATCGATTAGTGGAATAGTAATATTGTACTGCGAGGTTTAACTAAAGTAACCACACAATGGGGTCTCCATTGCCGCTGTGTGTTTTCCTTCTGATAAACGCTTGGAAACGTAGAGGTAGTGGGTTTAATATCCCTGCACTGTCTTTTTCATTTTTATGCTATGCGTTCTGTAATTTGGCGAGAGACAAGCAATTATTTGCATTAAACACACTACTCTACATATATATAAGACACAAATTATTTTATTTACTGTTACATATCCAGAGTTACGCCTTGATTCGAACCCCTTACCTCCATTTTAAATATCATTTAGTGGAAACAAGAGATTGAGGTAAAAATTATTCTAAAAAAATCATACTCTTCCAAGAATTTATTTTTTTATTTATTGTTACCTATACGTATGCAGGCTTGTGTGCTGATTAAAAAACACCCTTTATAAACCCTACTGAAGTTTAAGGAAAGATAGCCCAAATTTGAGACAAACATTACAAAGATGCATCTAATGCAACGTAGCGGTAGCTGGTTCGAATCTCACTCACTGTGTGCCAGGCTGCATGTGTGTGCTCTCCTTCTTTATCTTGTGCTATCTGTATATCGACTTGACAAGGGCATATTAGCTGATCTTTGTAATGAGCACACAAGCATGTGTATGTGGGCGTAACAATAAATAAAAATTTGTATGTAAGTATATGCATCCAGGGTTACGATGGGATTCGAACCCGCTACCTAAACGCTTCCACTTTTAGGATGCTGGGATGAAATAATTTTATTTGCTCTGGTGTAGTATTTATTTAGTAGCAGTTAAGCTACTGATTTAGTTCTGCCTTGTCCAGGCATTTGTACATTCACAACTGCATGTTGGTAAATGTTAACTATCAGGTTACATAGGCAGAAAACAAAACAAATAATCGACGAGAAACAAAGTTAACAAGTGAATAACTAAATAAAATAGTGTTTATCAAAATAAAAATTTTACGTCATCTCAAACTATACTGAAATATTAGCACTTTTAAAATTACCGACTTTTGCTTAAAATTATCTGAATTTACCGCATTTACTACCAAACTGCATGGTCATAATACAAATAGCTATGGTAAAAATTATCTTGTTTTTTGATGTTCACATAGTGCCAAAAGCAAGGTAAATTTGACCCCATTTCGGTAGTTTTGATCATACTTTTATTAGCACTGTTGAAATTGCCGACTTTTGTTCAAAATTATCTGAATTTACGGCATTTACTACCAACCTACATGGTAATAACAACACTATTTTATTGTTTATTTTACCAAAAAGTCAGTAACAGATCACTATGGTAAGAATTACCTTTTTTTTCTTTTTTCTTTTTTTTTTTTTATTATTATTTTTAATTTATTATTTATTTTTTTTATTTTGATGTTTCATAGAGCCAGAATCACTGTAAATTTGACCCATTTCTGGTAGTTTTGACCATCGGAAAACGCAATTACAAAAAACGATATTTTTTCATGTCGTAATGTGAATGTAAAGTGTTTCTGATAAATTTAATGTTCGAAGAAAACACTATTGAATTTATCTGTCGATTTATTTTTCTTTCAAATACATATCACAGTAACATTTGACAATATGCTAAGAGATATATTTTTATGCAATATTTGAAACTATTCTGTAAACCTACATCTCAAAAAGAGGGAATTTTGTATCTAGCATACATTTGTTTCATGAAAGGGTGTAAGAAGTTTGAAAATTTACAAATAAAATTTATACGATGCTTCAAAAATGCATACGTTATCTTGTCAAATTGTCCAGATTATGTCTAGGCTTATTACGAATGAGTAGACATTCTTCTGTATGTATAACATCACTTGACGTTTTTATTATAAAGAACTTCCAGGGAATTTGAAGAAAACAATCGGGATACGTATAAATTAGAAATAATAAAATGGAAACATATTCTAAATAAAGTATTACTTTTAAAATAGGATTTAAAAGCTCTTTGAAACTACCTTCTAAAAGTCATGACAGTAACATTCAAGATTGAGATTTGATTTTTCTTGAATATTTATAGTGGTGAATTTTATTGTGGAATCTTTTGTTTTTGAAACTGTTTTTACCAGTATAAATCAATGGGAAAACAGAGTTTTGATACTGGTTAAGATGTTTTTAGACAATTCACTAAACAAATCTCTCAAAAATAACTAAATTTCTTTATAAATAAATATTTATGGTATATTTATGCAGTTTTAAAATACCAAAGTTTAAGCGTTGAACTGTTTTAGTCGTACATTTTCAACTGTCACAAAACTATTTATTTAGTCAGGTATTTTCGAAGTTTAGAATCATTTCCCCACATATATAAGCTTTTGCATGTTGATTTAAAGCGTAACTTCTCTCGAATAATATTTAACTATACACTGTTAGAATAATCCTTCTAAAATTACGGTGAAATAACCGGTAGCAGACTGTTTATCCAATTAACCTTAAAATTTACATTAAGAATATTTTTTTACCTTTACGATTTTGAAACCGTTTACAGCTAGAGTGGTTAAAAAACCTTGAATGAAAAACTCTACCATTTACAACTAGCATGGTTTCAAAACCGCAGAAAAGAAATTTAAAAGGACATTGGAGCTAAGTTTTTTGCTAGGTAATGAGCATTGGAGTTAGGTTGTAATTTAGTTGGTTTTTTTATCAAATGAACCGTGCTATGCGGTTTAATAAGTCTATCTGGTTGTTTCACCTATCGTAAGAGATGAGAAATTCTAGTCTTTTTTGTGGTAAGCAGCTTTATGGTGCTGCCATCTATACGTGAACGTGATTATCGTATTCTAAGAGTCCAGGGTCACAAATTGGGGATAGCAGGAAACTTGACACTCTTCGTGCGTTGAAGAGAATGCAAGAAATATTGTAGTGTCTACACTGGGACACGAACCCAGGTTTGTTCGGTCATTTTAGCCCTCTTGGATATAAAATGTACCCATTCGTAAGGGACTTAGTGGCTTTATTAGGTGGGTCCTGTTAGTGAGATAAAATTCTGGTTGTTTAACCGCATTAGAGGACAGCAGTTAATAAACAGTTTTTTCTCACTTTTAATCGTTTGAATACCATCTTATTTATAATTATTTGTTTTGACTGAAGATGGTCAAATAACAATTTAATAAATTGTTATTCAATCATTTTTTCCTAGATATTTCTAACAGTATATTCATTTTTTGCCTCCAATGTTCTTTAGAAGAGGTTAGTGGAAAGGGTAAAAATAAATTAAATTAGTAATGCATTCATTTCAAATAATAAAATGAATATTAAATTTGCGTCAAGTTAAATCAACTGAGTCAATACAAGTAAGACGTAAAGTAGACAAAAAAATTTAATTATTTTTCGTTGAAAAAGTTAATAATAAATTTGTGTTACTTTAGCACAAATTAGTTTATTTATAATATAAATATTTGCAGTGATTAAAACACATGAAAATTCTTCTACAAATAGATAAAAATGTCAAACTTTGTCCAAACTTGTTTACATGAAACAACATGATGTGCTACATTTTTTCGATATCGACTGAACGAATGCTTTTTGCACAGATATAAATGTCAATAGATAATACCATCAAATGTCAATAGATAATGCAAATGGATAAAAATGTCAAACTTTGTCCGAACTTGTTTACATAAAACAGCACAAGTGTTAGATTATTTCGATATCGACTGAACGAATGTTTTTGCATAGATTTTTGTTATATATTTAAAGAAGCTATAGGTAAATTAGTTATTGTTGTCATTCCCTGGGAAGGATAGCTGCGAAGTCTTTTTCTTTTTAATACAGCCAGATGGCGTTCTTTTTAAATTTGTATGAGTTTGTTTGCTTTTTGTTAATAAACCTTTACTTTCTGTCTGAATCTCGATCCACGGACAACAGTTATTTCAGTTAAATAAACCAATATTTATTGCTCTACTGCATTATCATGTAAATTACGCGAAGCAAATTAAACAAGTCTATCAGCTGCAATGTTAACGCTCACCGTGTTTATAAATCACCGGCTGAAGCAGAAACTTTAGGTCAGGTGTTTGTACATCAGCGGTCTTCTTCTGAGAGTTGAAAGTATCACGTTAAAAATTTTAGTGTTACTGAATAACAAACATCATGGTGGCTTCTTTACACCAAGTAGTGTAAAAGAGCATTCCAGGTGTTTTCCTGCACCAAGAACTATTCTGTGTTCTTGGTGTAGTGGAACACTTAGTAGAGCAGCGCTCTGGTATAAAGTAGTTGCCATCTTTTTTGATGCTCAGATGCATGGAAATTGCTTACAGTGTACATGAAAATCCGATTATTAGATCAAAAATCATAAAGGTATCCGCTTTTTTGTTTTGCCCTCTATGCAAGATTGATCACATCTGTAATTATTTACAAAAATATTGACAGCAGTTTTTACTTTCCAGATATGAGCACAAGAAATCGCCATGACATCCGAAAATACCCTCGAATTTCCACATGGTCCAGACCTGAACTCTACAAGTGAAAACGTTAACTATATAATTGGTGCTGCATTCAATTTCCTCAACTCATCACCTGACTTTTTTAACAGTTCTGATCAACCTGAACGACGTTACATATCGAGTGTTGGACAAATCTTCATCACTGGCATTTACGTGTTTGGTGCTGTTGTTAATGTGTGCTCTCTGGTGCTACTGTCACAAGGGGAAACAGCGAGAAATCGGAAACTGACTCTAATGATAAGATGCTTGACAGCAAACGATCTTATGGCCCTCTGTACTTCATTTTTCTTGCTGTATATGAAACTGTATCTCCACCCTAGCCTTGTAGCTAGTCGGTGGTATTGTGGATTAAGAGTTTTGACACGGTTTTTTGGTTTTAGTTCTGGAAGTGTGGCATCAGTCATGGCTGTGGAAAGGTTCATTGCTCTTACGAGACCATTTTTCTATCAAAAAGTAAGTATCTTGATCATGCCAAGATCTTATTAAATGATGGAACACATTAAAATAGTTAAAAAAATTCCAGAAACCCCAATTTTTTATTTTATTTTAAGACTAATAAAACTTAGAAAGATAATAAAAAAAAGCACATTTATTAAATTTAAAGGCTCTGTATTGTAAAAAGATCAAAAACCGAGTTGGTACATTATTCAAATAGGGTCTCCAGATAATATCGTAATTCTTTGAATTAAATAATTTCATTTTAATGTTCTGTTAGTATTTATCAGTTTCAATCCACTATTCTATTATTTATCCTAAGTCAGTATAAAGTAGTGTTTTTCTGCAACACTTTTGTTATATTAACTGAAATGATTTGCTGCATTAAATATGCCGAAATAAAAATTTAAGAGATAAAGTCTCCATCAAGAACTTAATTATCTCAATTTAAATACACATGTTTTTTGTTCTATAGTAATATTTTTTTGTCAAACTAACGGAAATTGTCCCCTTGCTCGCTATTGCTAGTTCCCCGCTTAAAATAATCCTGTTTTCTTAAATGAAAATATGATGTTGGTTCTGTCCAAAAGATGAAAAAAATGTATGTTTTTTCACTATTCGGAATTGTGTAAAAAAAAACCAATGTTCTAAAATTTAATAACTCCGAAATTACGTTTTTTCTTAAACTGTAATTTTTTTAATAATGAATAATGATTTTATTTTATTTTATAACCTGCATTGAATTGCCGACCCAATTTTGGGTATACGACTGCTAATGTTCAACTCCGTAGTCTTGTAATTTTGAACCCAATGCATAAGATAAGGGAACTCCTGGATCAAGTATTGGGAGAAATATGCCTTTTCGTAATCACATATTAAATTGGAATCTAAATTCATTTACATTTTTAGCAATGCTTATAAATCACAAATATTTAAGACAATGCCATTTTGAATAACTTTTTGAATTATTAATAGTCTAATTGCTTTCACATTATTCAAAAGCACACTGACAAGAGTATACTTGAAGAATTCTTTACTCACTCATAATTAAAATTATTATTACTAGAGTAAAATTAAAATTAAATCTTCTTCGCGTAAATCACATTGCCATGATAAAATCGATATCCTTAAAAATGTGTACTTAAATTCTGACATTGTATTAATTATATCAGTTTTTAAAATTTTATTTTGTATACTATCCATACATTATTTTGACGAATTGGTTGTTAATTAACTTATAAGAGAACAACGAATATTTTCTAACTAAGATTAATTAGCATTAGGCCCAAAAACATTTTTCTCGTTAGTTATTGTATTCCAGTTATGGTTCATTTAGTACAATGAACTTGCTATTTATTACATTCAACTATTTGTCAGTGATTAAAAGGACATTTTGTTAATAACTACAGTGTTATGAGTGTCCAAATGATCGAGATACGAATAGAAATTATATGTAACATCAACTACATAAAACATATAACATCAGTTTCGTAAAAATACTTCGAAGAATTGAAGATAGAACATATTAATATTAAAACAATCAATAACTATTTTAATCGGTATAACGAAACCAGAGAGAAAAGCAAAAAAAGACGTTGTAGAGAGTATTAATTTCCCTTAAACTTGTAAATACTTCAGTAGTTGCTTTCAAAGTTAGAAATCGCATGATAAATATTATTTTCGTTTTGAATAAAGGTGATTTTTGTGAAAAAAAGAACAAATAATACCAAGTGAGCAAACATGCTATAGGTTTGGTTCTGTGATGAAGGATCTTCATTAGTGTCCAAACAGAGAAAAAAAGGAAGAAAAAAAATACAAAAAATAGTGCGTGGTGTCCCTCCACGCGAAAGAAGTTAAACTTCGCAACCTGCGACGTTAATTGTTGAAGAATCAGCAGTCGTAGAAGGATCACTAGTTCTATTCAACGACTCTTTTTCCTGCTCCACCCACTTCCGTGCTCTGTAATCACGGTAATATTGTGCATTTTTCTCTCGTGGACCTCTTAAACCAGTGCTTGTGGTTGCCTCATCGTCTCTCCCAGGAAAATGTATGTGTATTAATAATGTATGTAAATGCGTCATAATGTCATTTCAGAAGAGAAAAACCTAACAATCAATTGATATTCACAAGAGACGTACCTTGACATAACCTTAAATCCGTCGCGTTGTCCGTGGGATTGTTTTCACTCATTTTTTAAAATTGTTGTCCACTAAATTTGAAAATAAAAAATACTACCCTATTAAATTATATGTGTATCAAAACAAACTAAAAAAATATTTATAGAAAAGCAATACTTTTATTATTTTTATGCTAATGAGAACCAAAACAATACGGAAATGAATGAGGGAAAACTGGATCCTACCACGTGATTTCCCGGCCAATAAAAGTGTAGCGTTAAACGTTTAACGCAACCTTGTTGGAAGTCGCAGAAGTATAACTTCAAAAAATAAGTTGCGACAAGGGGAAAGGGAAATTAACCAATAGGGCAATGAGAGAAAATGAGTAACAAATCAAAAAAAAAGAGTATTAAACAAGATAATTAAGCAAAAGAAGAAAGATAAGACACAAGTGAGAGGGAGGAAGGGTGAGAAATGCAGTTATTTTTTTTTAAAATGTAGACATTAAAAGATTAGGAAAGAATGGAAGGACACAAAAGTCATTATCTTAATTATTGTAATTTTGCATAATATGAATGAAATGAACCGATTTTTCCGTACTAACTACTACTAATGCAATCTAATACATACTACTAATGCAATCTAATACACACTACTAATGCAATCGTAATCTGACAAAAAAACAGACTTACTTATAAAACTCTTTCAGCCAAAGAGAGTTTCATGCAAAAATATTTTTTCTATAATTTTTATGATTGATTGTAAATTTTTTAATCGTCAATTGCTCAAAATTTTTATTGTTAAATTCAATTTGGCCCTACAAAGGACATTCGGATATTATGGGCGTCAATATCGTAAATTAGAGAGCTGGTTAGTAAATTTACTTGAGCTTTTTAACTTAGTTATTAACTTAATTTAATTTATTACTTATTTGTTTGGATTTTTTTTAATTTAGTTATTTATTTAATTTAATATTTTAATTTAATTATTTATTTTATTAAATTTAAATTGGCCCTACAAAGGACATTCGGATATTATAGGCGTCAATATCGTAAATTAGAGAGCTGGTTAGTAAATTCACTTGAGTTTCTTAACTTAGTTATTAACTTAAATTAATTTATTACTTATCTGTTTGGATTTTTTTAATTTAGTTATTTATTTACTCTAATATTTTAATTTAATATTTTAATCTAATTATTTATTTTATTAAATTCAATTTGGCCCTACAAAGGACATTCGGATAATATGGGCGTCAATATCGTAAATTAGAGAGCTGGTTAGTAAATTCACTTGAGTTTTTTAACTTAGTTATCAACTTAATTTAATTTATTACTTATTTGTTTGGATTTTTTTAATTTAGTTATTTATTTAATTTAATATTTTAATTTGATATTTTAATTTAATTATTTATACAATTTATATTTTAATTCAACTATTTCTTTGATTTAAATTTTTATTATTTATTTTACTTAATGTAATTTTTTATTTGATTATCTATAAATTTGTATCCAATTTTATTTTAATTACTTATTAAAGTTAATTTTTCTATTTAATTTTACTATTTAATTTTACTATTTAATTTTACTATTTAATTTAATTATTTGTTCCATTCAGTATGTAATCATTACGCTGTACCATGTATCTAGATGCCGCTGAATGTTGAATGTGTGCGTATTTTAGTTGAACCAAATCATCAAGTTAGGCAGTGCATTATGGTGGAAAAAATGCAAAAAGTATATAAAAAAAACCGCAAAGCGACTAAAACTAACAGTTAAAAATTCGCAAAACTATTTCTTACAAAAAAATTATTACAATTAAACAAATAAACGTTGTAATAATTTAATACGCATGAATATTAGAACATAGCTTGCATGTCAAGCTATAAAATACTTACTTAAGCTTTAGCAATTTATAAGCTATAGTTTTAAAAAAGAAATTTTAAGACGGAATAATAAGATCCGATCAAGAATCACACATTTGAAAAAAACATAATGTTCAAACAAACTGCTTATCATTTTAAGGTCAGCTTGTTTTAAACAATGTTCTCTTCATCGAAATTCGATTCTTCATCGATTAAAAGCGTCTATGCATCTTTGTCTTAGACGATTTCAATCAATAATAATAATAATTATAATGTGAAATTTATAATACTACTCTATATAATACAATGCAATTAATTACATGGGGGTCATTCAATATGTATTTAATTGTTTGAAACGAGTATATAATGGTACGTCTTCAATCAATTTTGATTTAATATCAAGGAAGAGTATGACATAAATGCCTTATTCGATGATTTATTGTTCTCTATTCTGAAACAATTATCTAGATATGATGGATTGGTGTTTTATATTAATTTCATTTAATTGCCACTTTATTATCATTACCGTAGATTGAAGTCTTAAATGAAGACATTGAGAATATGAGCTGACTGTTAACAGCGATATGTTTAGTTATGGTCAGCGTGCAGAAATGAGTTTATATTGTTCTGCCAAGGAAATATTTAACTCGTTTATTCTAAATTTGGGATTTACGCATTTGAAATTTCCAATCTTAACACAAAACTGAAAATGACAAAACTTTAAATTCCATATTTTTCTTGATTTAATTAATAATTAATACTTTTTATTAAAATAAAGTAATTAATTTTTTAATTAATAAAAAATGATAATTAATATTTTTCAGAGGAATTTTAATTTTTCTTGCGTTTAAATTGGAATATTTTTTTGTGAAGAATTTTGTGCAAAAAAATGCAAAGCACACGGCATGACATCTTATGTTAATGACATCGGGGATCGGACGAGAACATGCATTTTCATCATTAAAGAGTAATGACAGCCTAGTTAGCGGGTCGCTGGACTCACGTTTGTGATAGCGGGCGTTCGAAGCCAGTCGGCCGAA